TTTTTTTATTTTAACCCTTCAGCTTTCATTTCAGGTGTCCACAAGGGTATCCAGGGCTGGTGCTTCCTGGCATGGGCTAATGCAGACAGGGCAGGCTGTGTCAGTGGTGTGGACAGGGGTGCACAGGGCAGCAAGAAAGATTTAGCCTAGACAGCACAAATAGATTTGTTCCTCAGAAGGCTACATCCCCATGACAGGGCATTTCACACACTGATTCCACTGCACTTCCAGGCTGAACTATATACATTGAAATATATGCTGAATGTATTGAAATAAAGGTTGAAACATTTTAATTCCTGAGATTATTTACTTGAGGGACTGACGGTCCTCATGAGTAACTTTCCATACTATCAGCTTCTGTTTATATCTGGAGATCCCTTTCTCCATGAGATTAAAATTCTCTTTGATACAGAAAACATTAGTTTTTGTTACTGTGGCTGTTAAGGCCTTGTAGGAGTTCATAGATAGAGCTGGAGTCATATCTTGCATCTCTGTTCAACCAGGTCAGTGCTCTGAGGATTTAGATCACCCCTTGAAGCTGGAAGTGTTGAAGTGCAAGGCTGGACTAGGCAGTTTCTGGAGACAATCCCTAACTCCAGAGAGACAACGCATTCTACTTCCTTCCTGAGCTCACCGTCACTGAAATGGGACCTCGTGGGCTTCCTTGACACATTTCACAGGACAGAGTCATCAGCCAGGGACTACTGACCTTCTGTTAAAGCAAACTCCCCCACTGCTGTGCCTTGTGTTTAACACACGCTACTGCACAAAATACAGAGGTGACCATCGTGTACTCCTTCTCTTCTCTCTCCTCTTTCCTGCTCTCCCCACTCACGGAAAACAAAAGTCAGGGTGTCAAAGCTGATGTAAGAGCCATGGCCATCCGTGGGGAAGGAGCTGACCTTACTCCTCCCATCAGAGCTCTTGCTCTCCAGTTGAGAAGAAATTATTGAAGGTGACACAGAGCAGATGGAGGTTGCTTCTTTTTACAGGAAGTGATGGGAAACACTTAATTTATAGGCCATTTCACATCCGTGCAAAAGTCACCAAATTTCTACCACAAATGGTTATTAGCAGTGATGGATAATGAGCTTGTGGTTTTTAGACACCACATGCATTTCGTCAGCCAGCATAAGTCACAGCTATTGGCTTTCAGCTTCACTAACAAGAGAAAAAAAGAAAGCTGGAACGTGCTTGGCAAAGTGCAGATGATTTCCACTGCTGTCCAGCTCGGACAATAGAAAGCCCAGTAATTCAGTTTCCTTATTCAGCTATCAAAATGGGAAAGTATGAACATAGAATCTAACAGTCTCTGGCGGTAACTAGTTGGAGAGGCTTGACTTATTAGATTTTCCTCAGCAACATCCGTAACTTCAGAGCTGTTCTCTTAGCTGACAGTCAGTTGTTATTTTCCAAGGCATCCAGACTGGCCCCAGGGATGTTTGTTTCAATCTATGTGGTATTCCATCAAATTACGCAAATTGAGCAACACTCATTGAGGACTGGGAGAAGGGGAGTTGGTGCCAGGCCAGAAAGGGACAGTGGCAAGAGATCAACAGAAGGATTTATCATTGTTTGCAGAGCTTATTTGCTCAGCTCTCTAAGTGAATGAGGAAAGCTGTAAAGGGCTGGCACCCTGGGCAAGCAGAGCTGAGGCTGAAGGCAGGTCTCCCCAAGGAAGTGCAAAGCAGTGAGGCAACTTGCTGGCAGCTGCTCAGCTGCCCAGTGCAGAACATATACCCTGGTGTCACCCCACACGGTGACACAATTCCACCAAGAAGCAGGAGCTCAAGGACTAGAAAACCCACAGGCCAGGGCAAGAAGGGTCTGTGGGGCTGCCTGATGTGTCCCAGGGTGACAAGGACATTGGGCACAGAGCCCAGGCAAGCACAGGGAAGGAGAGCTCAGGAGAGACGCAATACTGGTAGCAGGTCTGTGGACTGATTGTGCTTAGGACTTTGGGACCACAATGCAGGACAGTTGGAAAGTGGGACTAAACGGAATGTTTCTCCTGCGAGCCACTCTCAGTGAACCAAACCTCTGCAAACACCTAATCACAGCCACTGCCTCCTCAAACCCACTTCCTCCTTGCACAGTTACCTTTTAAATATGACAGCTGCTCTATGAAATTGCTCACCTCTTACCAACGCAAGGTTGCCCCAGGGGGATTACAAGCCCCAGCTGCTCACAAGCCCAAAGGCTCTCCCTTTCCTGGGCCTGCATTTTCTCCTGCCTCTGCGGTTTGTGGGGGTTGGTTGCCAGTGCTGTTCCGTGGTGGCCAGCCAAGGCACAGGGTGCGGAGCTGGGCCTCCTGCTTGGACGGTCTGTCAGTGCTCAGAGAGCAAATAGGGCAAGGTTTGGGGCAAGACAAAACTTGATGTGGGCACAGATGTACTTTTCCCTATAATTGTTTTCATTGTTTGCTTTAGGGTAAAATTCACACCTATTTACTGGCAATCCAGAGACCTGTTTCATTAGTTTATAAAGACAGTACTGAATATATTGCAAGGATAAACTTTTAACCCAGCATAGTATCTGATTCATAAAGTATACAGCACCCTTATTATTTCATCATTACCAAATATATGCCTGGGATGATGTCACTGATGTTATCTCATGGAGTTCATCAGAGGACTCACTTTCCTTTGTCTTGTTTTGGTAATTTAAGGTTTCTATTACTGCCAGTGTCTGCTTATTTGGCTTACTGTCACCAGCACAGAAAGTTAACAGGGTATATACATCCAGTGGGGACAAACAGATGAAATTTGGTTTCAGACTTTTTTAGCAGTTGGTTGCAGCATTTTGAAACATCGGTTGATCTACTTCTCCCTTTGTCACTTCCCATAAGTGCCAGAGACGTTAACAAACCTGCCAACAAGAAACTTCTTCAATGTGTGCTAGGTTAGTGGCTGGACTTAATGGTCTGAAAGGTAATTTCCAACCTGAACAATTCTATGATTCTATATGTTCCACTCATGACAATGTGAATGACTAACTGGTGGCTGCTCACCTGCTCTGAAAAGCCTCAGGTCATACACTGTCTCCAGCAGTATCCACAATTTACAAGAAAAGGTTTGCTCCAGGTTGCAGGAGAAAAATCTCACCACATCCCTGTTGGTTTCAACAAGTTGTGTCATCTCCCAGGTATGCCTTGCCTTATGCTTAATTCTTTTTACAAGAAGTGTCCTTTCTAGAAGCAGGGCCAGGCACTACCTTCCCGTGCCAGTGCTTCATGGCCCATGTGCCAAATCCTGATGTTTGCACTGATGGTGCTGTCACAGAAACAGCCAGAGACCTCACCTGCCCTGTTCCAGAAAGCAGCCAGGACTCCTCCTTGCCGGCGTGGGTACAGTCACAGACACCCTCACCTCTTGCTTGGCTTTGCAAAGATAACAGCAAAGAAACAGATGGAGAGAGATAACCTTCCACTGACCCTTCAGACTTTCATAGGTATCTATACACAAATTGGACCAAACAAGCTGGGGACATCAGCAGGAACTGTGCAGGAGGGGATGATCTGTGCCGGACACCAGTCACTGGTATCAAGAAGCACAGTACTCCAAGATTTGAGGTCAGTGCAACACTACTGCGTAAAGAAAGCTGCGTCAAACCAGAGAAGACGCTGAATCAGTAATCAAAACCTCACCATAGTGGAAACAACTGGTGCTGAATAATTAACATCTGCCTAACAATGATTCACATTGTAAGCACAGCTGATCAAAAGAGCACAGAGAGACAAAATCATCAAAAAAGAACTCTGCAGCCACAGTCAGGCACAGAGGTGGGCAAAGCACAAGGCAGGACAGCTCCTTGAGGCTGAAAACATTCACAAACAGCTCAAAGGAGACATCTCGCCTGCAGGAACGCAGGCAAAGGGCACCTATGAGGGAAGGGTCTGAGGGGTTTTCTAAGCAGCTTGTGAAGGTGGTTTTTTCTGAGAGACAAGTGGCTCCTCCCCATGAGTTGGGGTGTGAACACTTGACCTGCAGATGAGCATTCCCCTCTGCAGCTGAGAGCAGCCTGCATGCTGCCGCCTGGCACTGCTGCTGCACACAAACTCCCTAGGACAGTGTGTTCTCAAAAGCAGCAGCAGCGTTATAGATGGTGTGTCTCCAGGCCTCCCCACTGGAGGCCAGGGTGGACCAGTGGTGATGATCAACATGGCCAAGGCTGAGGGATTGTTTCAGGCAGTCCTTGGATCTCTTCTTCGGGCCTCTTCTCTTGCAGCAGCCAGTGGCAAGTTCCCCACAGAGCACGATCTTAGGGAGGCGATGGTCCTGCATCCTGGAGACGTGCCCTGCCCAGCACAGCTGTGTTCTCAGCAGCATGGCCTCAATGCTTGTGACTGCTGCCTGTTCAAGGACAGGCGTGTTGGTCACATAGTCAGTCCAGTGGATGTTCAGGATTGTACGGAGGCAGCGCTGATGGAAGCGTTCTAAGAGACCCAAGTGGTGCCGGTAAATGACCCATGATTCAGATCCATATAAAAGGGTAGACAGTACAATGGCTCTGTAAACACTGATCTTAGTACTTTTGTTCAGGTGTTTGTTTTGCCAAACTCTTTTATGGAGTTTACCAAAAGCTCTGTATGCCTTTGCTAACCTGTTGTCTATTTCTGCATCAATCTTACTGTCCAAGGAGATGATGCCTCCCAGGAAATTAAATTGCTGGACTGATTTGAGCTCTGATTCACCAATGGTGATATGGGGATGATGGAAGATTTCCTGAGATGCAGGCTGATGGAAAACTTCTGTCTTCTTCAAGCTGACTTCCAGACCAAAAACTCAGCAGCCTCTGCGAAGCAGGATGTTAAACACTGCAGAGCTACTTCTGTGTGGGCGACGAGGGCGGCGTCATCAGCGTAAAGCAGCTCATGGATAAGATGATTTAAGGTCTTAGTGTGGGCCTTCAGTTGCCTTAGGTTGAAAAGGGTTCCATCGGTACGATATCGGATGTACATCCGATACATTCTTGGGCCTAAGGCTGTACTATAATCCCACTCTGAGGGAAACATTTTCTGGCCTTATAATTCTGGAGCACAGCTCTGAAAGAGTGGCTTTGCCTATGTCAGGTCTGTTGAGATCTGATCCCTGGGGCCCCAGTGGATCTTTGCCCCATTTTGCACCCTCTGTCCCAGGCTGAGAACAGTGACTCAGATTTCGAGGTCTGAAGCTTTGTTTTTCTCCTTCTCCTCCTGACCACAATCATCAACAGCATGAGCATGCTAAAATACTTCAAATGAAAGTACACGCAGTATTGTTCTTGCAACACTTTTACACTTGCACTTTCTCCAAACCCAGGAAACTGCAAGAACTAATTAAGACAG